ATAAATCAGTTAAATGACGAAAAATTAGGTGTATATTTACTTGTGACCACTCAGTGTATATATATATATTGATCTCTACTAGTCACTCGTTCCTTTTAAACCATGGTGTCTTGAAACTGAATCTTATAGCCATATGATACACAGATGTTGCAAGCTGAGTGTTCCATGTCAGATGTTTATCAAAGGTGATACAGAACTGTCTGGAAATTAACAAATCTGGACATTAAAGAAGTCAGTATTTCGGCAAGGTCGATGTTTCCTTTTGCTTGGGCCAAACAGAATAGCTTTGGCTTTAGGTGTATTGAGTATCGGCACAGTATAAACAATAAAACTGAAATATTTTGTCAATAACTTTTTTATTCTCGTCATAGATATTTTACAAATTTTCTTAAAATCTTCAAAGGTATGATGCATGCGCGTTATTTTTGATAAATGTTGGATAAAATCATCTTTTTCTAGCTTGAAGTTTTGTTAATAAATGTTTCAGTATGTGTGATACTTGGCAAGTCTGTGATTTAACTTAAATATAGTAATACTAGTATGGTGAAACACATCAATTTTAAGCAATAGGGGAGGGATAATGTGAGAGTCAAAGATCTAATGTCCAGCACTACAGAGGATAGTCAAATTAGTTATGGATATCAAGTGCATGATATGTTTTATAGAATTTCTAAATGAAGAAACCTGCTATGATCTATTAGCTGGAATCACTTTTTGGAATGTCCCCTGTGTTTAGTTTACGTGATTTATTTTATTTGACTAAAACATGCTAGGACAAGTATTTACCGCAGGTATTATTACACTGAGTTGTAGTTCGGCATTCTATAAACTATGATGTTTCAATATATTTGATTTTACTTACATATATTAATGATAGCATTTTGGGCTCTGATGAAACCTGAGTTTTATGTAAGAAAATATAAATGGAGATTTGTATTAGATGTTTAAACATACTTGTTATAAACTGTTATTCCTGGAGTGTAATTTATCATAAAAGACTAAGCTAGACATGTAATTATCTAAGATTTGATCTCTAGTTTGAACAGAGTAGAATTAAGTTACTTTTTTGTTAGTGAATTATCAACGTAAGGAGAATATAAGTTATATTTTCCAACTGACCCTGTCTTAAATTTTGACCGGTTGCTTTATTGTCGGACACAATTTAATCTTACTGAGTAGTGATCGTAAAATGTTTTTGTTGTAAAGTACGATGAACTCAGCGAAATACATGAATCATACACTAACTTTTTCGTTTATAAACTATAATAAAAATTTTACGTGCTGAACTGAAATGAACAAGTAGTAATATGGACATAATGTACAAAATCTGCATGAAAGATAATCCAGTATTTTACAAACTAAGATGTTTATGTAAATAGTATATTGATGTATCTTGAAGTTTTGCTAATAAATTGCTCAGTATGTGTGATAAGTGTCAAGTCTGTGGTTTTACGTTAATATTGTAAAGTATATTCTGTAATGATAAACAGTAAATGTGTTTGGATTTATAAAATGAGAAAGAATAATCACTTGATCTATAATTAAAGGTCCTTTTAAGATTATGATTGTCAACTTTTTTCATTTATAAACTATGTTCATTTGTGAAAAATGTATTTGATGATGTGGTAATCTAATAAGTTAAAATGTTATAGTGTGCATAAAGTGAAGTTTTAAAAGGTACATAAATAGAATTTCTGATTTGTCTGTCGGGTTTATAGAAATGAAAACATTACTTGTTTTAGCCTTAGGCGAACACATCATCTGGTCTTACAGAAGGGTCAAGCTTTTTGAACTTGCCATCAGCTGGTATGTATCAGAATAAAATAACCAATAGAGTTGAAATAGTCCTCGTTGTTTGCATGTGTGTAATGACACTGGTAATTAGGTATCTAGAAATCGTTCAATGTCAAACGTATAGCAGAAAAATGGTAAGAATATTACTTATCAAACCTGTATTCAAAAAGTTCCAAACCAGCAAGAAACGAGTTCTAAACAATAATTTGTGAAAAATTTTTACACAAAGATAAAAATAATAATTTTCTAGTAATGGTGAAACATAACTATTTACGTAGATCCTTTAAGCTTTAGCAAAACTAATCAATTTGCAAAGCTAAACATGGAATTATTGTATATTATTTTGAGAATTAAATAAGCGTCCTTTTCAGGG